ACAAAAATTAAAAACCAAGAGAGCAGGAGACAGGAGTGAGGATCTTTGCTCTACCAGGAGTGTCAAACTGACGGCCAGTGGGATGTGTTTTTTTAGGTATTTAGGTATTTATTGTACATTTATAGGCCGCCCTTTTCCCTGAGGGGACTCAGGGCGGCTTACAANGTTAAAACGTTCCATGGAAGTATGAATGATTCTTGTCCAAGTTGAATCATGTTTTAAAATTGTTTCTGTAATTTTTTTTTCTTTTCTTTAAACTATCATTTGTTGACACAGTGTACTGGGTTTCCTTATATATTATTGTTATCCCAGATGGAGGTTTAAACAGTAGTTTATTCAAGCTGAATCAACCCAAACAATTCTAGAGACATTTCATTAAAAAGAAAGTTTAAAAGAAAACTAAAAATTCAGCTAGGTTATTCAGCCCATACCGGGCTGAATGAAAAACAAAAGAAAGAATGAGAACAAGAAATGCTGATTAGAAAAAAGGAATCCAGAACATAATAATAATCTGTTTTTATTGCAATTGAATTCTCATATTTAATTCACTGCATTTGTTCTACGGTAGTTATTGGCCCAGCTCACACTTACAGAATATCCATATTTTCCCAGCACTCTAACCCAGATCTTTACTAAAAAGTGAAATTAGATATTTTAAGAAGCTGGGTAAAATATGAAGAGCCCCTTGTCATCCATACCATGTCTCTAGCTCAATCATGGGAAGGAAGGATCTAGAAGTTCCTATTAATAAATCTTATTTTAGATAAATTAGATAGGCTAAAGGTCTGTTGTAGTCATTATTTTTTCCTCTTTTGGTCCAAACAAAATAACAAGTAGATCAATCAGCGCCTTATTAAATATAAAGTTGTATTTTGGGTGGGTTTTTTCATATTTTAAAACATATATCCAGCTGTTTTGAGAATAAGCCAGCTCTTTACCATTGTGAAACTTAGGGAACTTGATTCGCCATCCAAAGTACATCTTTCAAGAAATAAATTTTATAGATCAAAATATAGCCTTTTGTAGGTGGAAAGATGCTTTATGCCAGGAGTTCCAAGGTCATTGTAATTTTTTTCTTCAGATGGATGTATTATAACATTCCTAGCGATATTTTACACGTAGAAGTCTTTTTGTTGAAATATTTCCTCCATGCTGGGCTACCACATGTTGCTCTGATGGCCAAATTAACTTTTCTCCACATTCAGAAATTGCCTTGCCTGTTTAGAAACTTCCCGTTTCAAAGGTATATCAGAATAACCATGCAGATTTCCAAATGGGAAGAAATAAATTAATACCAGATGTCAAAAATTGTTAGTGTTCCACAAGGGACAACATTCTTTCAGAGTCAATAAAATGCTAGCAGTTGCATGTGAGAGAAGAGCTTTTTCAATAGCAGTAAATTTAGTAGAGATTAATGAAGTAAACAGGAAAGCCTTGTGCTATATGGTGAAAACAGACTTTACATGTGCCAGAAAACTTTATATTTACTGAGAAAATAAGAGTTTCCAATAGTTCTCTATTGTTAATCAGGAAAAAAAAGGAGAACAATAAGGAGAAGTAGCAACTGGATTCTCTTCTGTAATACTTCAGAAAAATAGAACTGATCTTACCATCATTTATTCTTCAAAGGCATGCAAATGACCGAAATGATCCTTTTAGAAGAATTCACATTTTTATAAATGTGGTTATTCTTCAAATAATAGTTAATCTCTAACTTAAATACAAGCATGCTTCATCAAACAACTTCAGATTTTAATTAGCACCGAAAAGAAGGATTTAAGATTGTCTTACCAAGATATTTGCCTTATAAATGGCACTGATTATTAATTGAATTTTTCCAAAGACAAAGGCAGACAGATAAACCAGGATGGATTAACCAGGCCTGACTGTGCACATCAAAAAGCACAATGTACAACAATGACTGGAACTTGACCAAACCACTGTCATTGAAAAGCTCATTGTCTGGCAAGTACATTTTTATTCCTGAAGGAATGCACATATGATGTACAACAGAAGCAGAAACATGCTACCTGCTTGACCATACAGTACAATAAACAATTCAAAAGGGAAAGAAGTAGTGCACTAAGTAGCTATAAGAAGCTTCCGAGATCAGTAAAGTATTGTTAAGATTAGCATGCACCTAACTTGTGAGCAAGTTACTTTTAAGGCCTCATATTCCACTGTTTTTCCTGGAACTCCATCCAAAGGAAAGACAGGAACAATCACTCTCTGTGTCCTACTCTCTTCCAGACAGCCAGTTTCCACCCTACCAAACAGGCTGCTAGCTACAATATTGAGTCACACATGAGATCTAGCTGTTATAAATACCACAACAATTTAATCAAATTGTATTGATTATTTTGAATAATACTTTGTATTATTTTGCTTGGTTGAACATTTTAAAAAAATCAAATGATTTTAATAATAACTGTTTTTGATCTTATGTGGATCTCGTAGATCTTTCCAGAACTTTGGACTTGGAAAGAATTAGTATACACAACTTCCCCCGTTCACCCATTCTCATTCTAGGATAATAGCTTGTGGTCTGTTCTCTTGTTTACTGAAAGTGAAATGTAGGTGTGAAATAGGCCAAAATATTGGGTTCAGAAACTTTGCCAGATGAGGACCGTGACTGAGCAACTCTATTTTAACCATCGGTTGACCAATATACTTTCAATTTCTGTACATTAAGGAACTGGCCATATTTCCTTTAGCATTGTGCCCTATAAACCAGGTGGACTGAAAAAGGGTTTTAGGGGTGGTAAATACTGCAATAAGTAATGAAATCGTCCCCTCTGTGTTAATAATGGAAATAGTGAAACTATTCCTGACAAAAGATTTAATTTAGATTTGTTGGATTTTGAAATCCATAGAGTTGGTCAAGTGGCTAATAGTGTAGATCCATTTCAGCTTGGCTCCGTGAGCCTGCCTTGATGGAGAACTAAATTTTTTGGCTTTCATACATTCCTTAATGACTTTTAGTGTCACAGCAATCATGATATCCATCTTACAATCTCCAGGTGCTAAAGCATTTCCAATCCTAGATGTTTAACTAGAGGGGAGAAGATGGTGCTTCTGAAATTTACACCACGGTTGCTGGGCATGGAAAGTCCATTTTGCCTCCTGTGTTATCAATGTATGTGAAATCACAAAGGGGGGGGCTCATTTGGAGATTTATGTTAGCGTATCACCAATTTGCAGATACTAAGAAATTTCTATTTCTTCCAAATTTCGTCTTTCCGCACTCAAGTTTCCCCTGTTCTCATAGGCTTCATGGAGTATGGACAAGAAACAGGTTTTCACAGAGAGAGTCTCTCCCCTGAAACATAATTGGCCCAATTGACTGATTCAAAAGTACCATAGTGGATTATTTCAATTTCAATCAATTGTTCATTATTAGTTACAGACTGATATTTACAATTGGCCCCAACTGTTCTTATCTTTAACAAACTTGTTAAAGCTACTTTGTTTGAACATGTTTTTGGCTTTGCGTTATTCTTAGGTGCCTTGTTAATATTTCGTTATTTTTAGGTGCCTTGTTAATATTAAATATTTAATCTTACTGTAGCCTGCTCATAATCTGACAGGATTGGGGTGAGATATGTACACTGGAAATAAGTAACAATTACCTTACCCCAGAGGGCACACTGGCTTTCTAGAAATGACCATAGAAAGTTCAAGAGTTAGAGCAAGAATGTGTTTTGATTGATCATGGCACTATAAGGAAATCATATCATTTTTTACTTAGACACTACACACAAATGAGATTTCATTGTGGGAATATTTTGTAGCTCGCTTTTGGGGGTGGCTGTAGCTCTAAATTTGATAGAAAGAGTCAAAATTGATGAGTTTGTAAAGTCTCCAGTTCAGAAATTAAATCTCTGGATTAGGACAAATAGCAAAGAAGTACCAAACCTGGCACATAATGAGTGAAAGGATGGGACAAGGAAGAGATATTGAGCCTAATATTTTGTATAAAGTATAAATCAAACCTAAACCCAAATAGCCAATATATGGAGAAAATATAAATTATATTTTAAGTTCTTGGGATTTTTGTAATACATTGGGTACTATCTACTACAGGTGCTTTGTAATTATTTTGGTGGGAAACACAAATTCTGTGCTGAGAAAAATCTCATTTTTCATGGTGGTAAGATTAGGGTGAAAATATGCTTTAAAAAGAAGGCAAAAATTCATAGGTAACAAACTAGGATGTTATTTTTTTCCTGGTGCAATTGAATACTACTTCCTTACAAAAACTTGAGCATGCTCAATCAGATCTTGAAAATTGGCATTTTCAACTATAGATGTAATCAAAGACATATTGACACATGGATCTTATACGGAAACAAACGCCCACATAGCAGTTTGAGACAATGTGAATACAATATTATGAACATTTAACCTGAACTTTCAGATATGAGATACAAAATGCAATTTCTATATCTTATTGAATTCAATAGAAAACTGGAGATCAGGTTTCCACTTCTAGATTGTTTAGGATGACTTACAAAAATTGCCAAGAAAAAAAAAATTACTTGTAATAATTTGTATTATTAACTATATTGTGATGAAAGGCCCAGATGATTTTGACAAATTATATTCACAGTGGAGAAATCTCCTAGAAAGATAATCTAATAGAGAAAAAGTAGTCTGAACTCCACAAATACCACTTCATTTAAGTATCAAACTGTGAGGAAAGGAATCCATGTAATTTTGATTTCAGAAGACTAAAAGGCAAAATAACCCACAACTTCAATCTAAAATTCACGAGACATGAAAGAAATACAGTAATTAAAAATGAAAAATGGAAAATTTCATTTCTGGATTGCTTACTTACACTCACTCACAGATTGCATACTACAGCAATCTCAAGGCTCAAGAAACAAGGCTGGATTTGTGAGGTGAAGAAACTAAATACTGAAAACAAACTATAACTATTTATTTCACAGGTTATCTATACTGTGTCCTAGATCACAAATAGAGAACATAGTACTTACTCCGTGGTTCCCTTGGTCCATCTACTGTCACTTTTATAGCTCTGTGATATGTAGCAACTTGAGGAGGATTTGTAAGGACAGTTATTGTTAGAGTAAAACTTTTCCCTGTTAAAAAAAAAAAGGAAGAAAAAATAGAAATTAGTATAGAAAAGTTTGCATTAAATCTAAAAACTATAAAATATAAATTTTATATTTGGAATGGAGCAAAGAAATATGTATCTGCCCTCCTCATTAATTGTGAAATTCAGCTGAGTATCACAAATTTTAAAAAATGATTTTTTATATCAGATCATGAGGTAGTGGCAATAATTAGAACCAATATCTTCCTCAAGAAAAAGGACATTTTTGCTTGAAGAGCAAACTGCTTGTAAGTAATTCAGAACNGTGAAGCCATGATCTGCACATACTGTGCTCTAAATGAGAATTTATAGAAGTACAGGCCCCTTATGAATGTCCTTCCTCTCAAAGGAGAAAGTTAAGTGGTTGGCTGTAAGCAGCAGCACTTTTTTCAGTTGTGAGTTTTCAATGTAACTTTTTAATTAAAGCAGACCAGATATTAATGAAGGGGAGGATCAACAAGATCTCAACGCTGAGGGGAAAGAGTTTAGAGCCATGGTTTCTTTTCACATTGATAGGGCTGCTTCAGCCCACATGAGAAAATGCCAGATTACCATGGTGATGACCATTGTTAGAAGGCAAATAATTTTTAAAGTAATCTGTCGTTTAATCCCATGTCTTTGGCATGGCATAATGCCTTTGACTTGCATATATCTAAGCAGACATATTCTGACTTGATAAACCTATCAGGATCACAAAGTTAGAGAATGAAAGACTTCCTCTCAAAAAGACACTCCTGAAGTCTGGCCCAACTCCATTAAAGACTGGCAGGGGGAGGGGAAGTGTCCCTATCTAGAAGAGGGCGGGAGGGGTATAGGCAAGGGGAGGAAAAGCTCTTGCTTGAACTGGAATACTTCCAAATCCTGGCAGAACAAGACTTTTTTCTTAACACTTGCGAAACCTAATCACTTTGAAGGAATGAAGAGAGAGAGAAATATAAACACAACCATTATAATAGCTTTAAAGTGCTTATTTTTAATCTAGTCTGAGATTCCTCCAATTGTATGCTGCTTTGGAACCATTTTGCTTGTCAAACATCAATAAGGTGCTTTTTAATTTATTTCCAAAACCAAGGCTGAACATTGTGGTTAAATTGGAGTTCAGGCATAGAAGAAACAAGAGTTAAGCAATAACGAATAGATATATATGTGTTTATGTACTACCTCTTTCAACAAGCAGCTTTCTTGAATTAAAAGACCATTGTGCTTGTACCCATGAAACAGGTTTTAAGAAGATTACTTAAGCTCTCTTAAACAAGGTTGAAAGAATACACTAATCACTAATAAAATTCATCTGGCTAAATAAAGTTGGAAACAAAAAGATGCCCTTTCTTTGTACTTTGCTGTGAGTTGAAATAATATGCTCTTGTGGAAAAAAAATCCTATCCTTTTTCATAGAGATACATCTGAAGGTTCCTTCAGTAATCAGGGTCTCTAGAGCAGAACAGCAGTTCATCCATATAATCATGTAGGTTAATGCTCTTGCACAATCTACTACAGGTTTTATAGACACATAATTGCCATATCCACCCAAGTGTAATAAATGGAGTCTACTATGTTAATCCCTGCATTCCTATTGTTTGTAAATACCAAATGAGGGAGAGACTCATAGCCTAAGAACCCTTCCTTCCCTTCCAAGGAGTTCGGTTAATGAGGCACAGAGCTGCAAAGCCCATACATTCCAATGACGTTCCAGCCCAGAGATATGAATGCCAACTAATATGAAAAATGTCAAGTTATTGTGATATTGAGACACCTGAAACCAACAGATGGCATATGAGTTCAAAGGGTCTCAAACAATTCCTTAAATATATAAGGAGATAAAGACAGAAAAAGGAAGGAAGGAAGGAAGGAAGGAAGGAAGGAAGGAAGGAAGGAAGGAAGGAAGGAAGGATTTTTCTTCTTTATTTCATTTTTATAACTGTAGCATAAATCAAACAGAGAATTATTTGTTCTTAGGCAGACCTTTAGTAAATAAGAAGAATTAAACATTTTAAGGCATTGTCCTATTAAAGTTCACCTAAAAGAATGCATAAAAGAATGCAGTGAGTAATGTTGATCCTCTGTTTCAAAAAATGGATTATTCCAAAAGAATGGTCAATTGAACAGTTAGACTAGTTCATCCAAAATCAAATCAATTCAGTTCATAATTTCCCAAGACCCTCAGAAGTTGTTAATAATATAGCGAAAAGTTATTACATCAAAGTGTAGTCTTTAGGATACTCTGGCTTCAATCCACTTAAAACAGAGAGGGGCAACTCATGGGTCGCCTGATCTTTCATTCTTCTTTATGACATTTTTAAGATCAAACTTTTGCCACTGAAACTTGGTATCAGATGGCAGAAAAATTGTAAAACGATTGACTGCTAAATGATAACAGGGCATAAATGAGAAAAATGTAAAGCATCAAATATACTTAATTTTGATATTAAAAAGAGAGTGCATATACAATAATGAAGATGGTTCTGAATTTCCAATCTGATGAGAACCCTTAACTGACAGCAGTATTAAAAACAGGTTCATCTTTGCTTTTTATTTCACTGGATGGTTACCATCCAATAGAGAAGACAGAGATGAAATTAAGAAGAAAGGAACAAAGGATATTGATAGAGAGGGAAAGAAAGGAAAATGGTTAGACTCATTTATGGTTGTGGTTTATGACACTTAATACAAGTGAAAACAATGAGGATCCACTGTGACTAGGATGTTTTGGTTCTAGGTATCTATATAGGCATATTTTCAAAATGCTATTGATTGACAAAATAATTTCCCAACTGCTATAAAAGTTATCTCACACACAATTACAGTTTTATCATAATTAGTACAACAAAAGGAAATTGATTATTTGTAATCTATGAATTTTCCAAGACAAATACCATATATATTAACACTAATTGCAACTGCTTCTCAATACAATGAAAATAATTATATAGACAATTTTATAACTCCTTTCATTGGAATGAGTCTCTCATGCTCATGTATAACTTTGTAGAAAAATTCAGCTGTTTTTATATAAAAGTAATGATTGTTATTGGGTGAATTTCCCAGAAAATGCACATATCATAGTGTTTAGTCAAGCAAAGAGAGAGCAAACTCTACAAATGCAACATTTACAATGGAAAATAAACAACTTAGAATAAAACCCTGAAGATCAATCTGATGTATTGGCCTATGTGCTTTAGAAGTTGACTCTTCATCTCTTCAGAATATGTTTAATAATTGACTCTATTAGTTAAGCTCCACATGTTAAATTGAAGTCCTGATTTTTTAATCCAACTAAGGAAAGCCATCAGTACAAGAGAAAAAAACCTTCAATAAAGTCATTGGCTGGGTTGAAGCTTCACGTTGTTCCATATTTTTTTTAAAGTATGGTTTTAAATAAGCCACAATTGTTGGGTTCATATTATGTACTAAGCCACTAGTCATGGTTTTACAAATAACAACACCAGAGGTTGCAAAACATCAAAAGCAAAAACCAAACACACCTCATTATGACTTAGCAGAATATGAAAACTTAAGTATGTTCTTGACACCTGATAATATTATGTTATATTTGGTCTTGTGTGGTCTTATTGTTTTTGAATGGCAGAATTCAGTGCTGCATCAGAAGCATCTTTTCCAAGCTTCTTTAGTTTCAAAAACAGTTTGGAACTAACAAGTTTTCCAAGCTGAGATTTTGATAAGATTCAAAAGAAGTTGTTCAAGCTTGTCAACAATTAGATTTTCCATACCGTATGTTATGGAGTTCTGAAATCTTTTTTTAAAAATGGATAACAAGAAATCTTTACAGATTCTGAAAAAAAAAATGTGTAACAATAGAATGGTACAATATATAATGAACAGTGTGATAAATTGGAATCTTTTAAAAAATAAATATTGCTGTATGAAGTTATTAGAAGAAATAAAGAAAATCTCTTTCTAATAAAATAACTAGAAAATAGATCAGAAACCATAGTTCTGAGAAAAAGTATCCTCCAAAAACATTTTTTTCTTCCCAATATTGAACCATGCAACAGGATTTTTGTGTTGTGAACAATGCAAATATTGTGGACACGGTTTAGGAACAAGAGATAGACTAAATTTTTTTTGAATGTATAACAGTAAACTAGGGATATATTATACTATGACAAGGAATGTAAAAGGAACACAACAAAGGACTTAAAATGGGGGAACATACTATATTATTAAAGATCAAAATATGTTAATTTGAGTCTAGGCACACATCAGACTCAATAGAAGGCAAAATTCCAAGATTGCTTTGGAACATATTTTCATTCACTGAAGGTCCAAAGATGTTTATAACAAGTTTAGTTTGAATTTGAGCCCTTTTCAAATCCAGTTTCAATCTGTTGTTCAGGAGCTCTGGCACTGTGCAAATGGTGCAGGCTAAAAAAGGAGTATTTTTAATAGTTTATGGAAAAAGCTATATTAGAGAGGAGAATGGAGTGTGTTGGATTTAAACAAATAGGTTTTTCCTCAGATCATTGTATCTTTATAACCACACTGCCTTCAGCTATCTGAAAGAGAGTAGAAAGATCTCTTTAGTTTTAACCCTTGCCCTGCCTCATTTTTTCAATTTGTTATCCTTGGGAATTTTGCGATGATAAATAGAAATTGCCTAAGGTAGCTGACTGGGTGTAGTGTATTCTTTTAGGAAAGGGAATATCTTTTAGATTTTTTTAAATCCACCTATATTATTTTTATAAATAACTCAAGATGGGTGAATATAGCTAGTACTACTTCCTCCTATTTTCCCAACAACAACAACAACCCTGAGGTGAGTTGAGTTGAGGGAAAGCAACTGGCCCAAGGTCACACAACCAACATGTTTAAGGCAGTTGAAAAGCATCAAGTTAAGATCAAGTTTATTATCCCTCCTTCCTTCCCTTCTTCTTTAAATACCCGCTTCTCTGAATTCAGAATTCTATTTAGNTGTTTTCTGACCAAAATAAAAAGGTCCATATAAAATGGTCTTCTGCTCAGATTAAG